ACTTTCCTTTTTCAACAAGCTCTCATTCAGTTATTAAAAATACAAATTGTCTAATGCCTGAGACAAAAGGAACACCTCTTAATCACCATATCAACATATTCCATTATTCAACTTAGTACAAATCACATTGCTCAAAAGTTCTTCTACTTGATCACCTTGATTATTGTAGCTGAGCTAATTTCTTCTATGGAAGATTCAGTATCTCTTATGTGCAGTGTGGGATTCAAATATGTGAACAACTGGTTCTCTGTGTGGATACCGCTTCAACAAGCCCATTCTGGGTTCTACCGAAGTGGTACGAATGGGCTGAATCCCACCACTGCTTATGTGCATATCACACTTCTATGTTTTTAGGTTCAGAAGAGCACATGTACATACATGAATATACGTATAAAAGACTTATAGTGTAAATATTCTACTCAACATCAGAAATAAATAGTTACACTATAACTCCTTTAGCTAAGACCATTTTACATACCAGAGCATTTAATAATTATTACTATTGTTATATTACTATAATTATAATATTTTATATTACTATAACTAATTATTAATTAGTTGCTAAAGCTGCTATTTTTGCTCGTATATGGCCATTTCATACTGAAAGACTTTGGGTTTAAAATGAAGAAATATGATTATTTATTTATATATTCAATTTATTTATATATTTACCCATCACTTTGGTAATGCCCATTAGCTGATATACTAGCACCCAGGTGGATGACAGTCTAGCCCAGAGGTGTCAAACTCGCAACATCACATGACGTGTCACGACGTATCGTGACGTATCATGACTTTTTCTATTGCTGGCAATGGGGTATATGCAGTTTCAGCATGACACATCTGGCCCGTGGGCCAGCAGTTTTGACACCCCTGGTCTAGCCTCTGAATGATTCAGAGCCTGTGCCCTCTCTGGGAAATCAATTCCACTATCAAACTACACTTGCTAGTAACAGATTTCTTGTAAAACTCAATCAAAATCCAACTTTCAACAACTTAAAACCATTAGTCCATCCCCTGTACCCTGGAATAAAAGGAAACAGGCCTTGATAGTCTTCTACAAGACATCTAATATATGAGAGTTACTGTATCTCCTCCACGTATTTCTTTGGTTGTCTTTTTTTTAAGTTACATGCCCAACTTCTTGAATCTTTTTTCCACAGGGTTTAATTTCTTTCTTTCTTTTTTAAATAAACTTATTTATTTATTTATTTTAACACATTTAAGGAATAAATGACTACAGGAAAAAGAAAGTAGCAAGAAGGATCATAGTGGGTGGACAATAAAATATCATTATTAGAGAATTTCGAATCATCATAAATTTAAAATTCATTATTTCATGTATTTATTTCTAATTCCTGAATCATCTTTGACAGCTTTTTCTGAACCTGCTCCAATTTCTCTCCATATTTTTTTCTAAGTTTGATGTTCTGAGCTGAATTCAGTGGGGAAGCAGGATCTGAGCTAAAAAGAGTAACTTGGATAGATTATTTTACTTGATTTGGAAATAATGCAGCCTAAAATGACATTGCTTTTTTTTTTTTTTTGCAGCCACTCTACATTGCTGACTCCCATTGCAATCACCTATTATTTAGATCTCTCTTGCACACATGTCATTATCAAACCAGGTGTCCCCTACTCTATATCTGTACATTTGACTTGTAAGTTGAAGAACTCTGCACTCTTCCTTGTTATTCATTCTTTTACTTTCAGCCCATACCAAATAGTGTTTTACAGAACTTCAGAATTCTGCAAGGAGATTAATAGGCATTGTGCAAGAGATTGTTGTTGATGATGATGTTATTCATTCAGCCATGTCCAACTCTTGGCAATTTTATGTTCCAGATCCCTCCACATCTTTCAATCTTGCACAACTTCTTTAAGTTTTTCTGTGCTCTGCTGGTATCAAATTTGATGGTGGTCAATCACCATGTTCTTTGACAGCCTCATTTCCTTTTCCATTAACTCTTCCAAATATAATTGCTTTCTCCAGTGAATTTCCCTGCATAGCACGGTCAAAGTAAGTGAGCCACAGTTTTGTGATTTTGCCTTCTAATAAACAAATATTATGTTTTGATCTTTGTGTACCATGAAATGGTGGGAATTTTTAGACATCACAAGCCAGCTTATTGATCACGCTAATGTACTGCAAGGTGTAGATTTATTTAATTATTTTTATGCAGAGATATCTGAGACATAACAATTATTTCAAGAGATCCTATAGGGTAAAAAGATTGAAAAATTCTATTCTATCAAGTTTATTTTGAATTGTATATATCTTCTAAGGCAGGGGTGTCAAACTGCCAGCCTGTAGGCCGGATGCGTCAGGACAAAACAGCGTCCACCCCATTGCCAGCAATAGAAAAAAAGTCATGATAAGTCATGACACGTCACATGATATTGCGAGTTTGATACCCCTGTTCTAAGGTATAAGCTATCCCATCAAATAAGCTATCCCATCTGCAAATTTGATGAGCATTTTTTTCACATTTTCATTGAAATAATTAATGAAAATATTATAATAGAAGATCCCTGACTGACCCCTGTAGCATCCTATATCTCTCCATTTTGATAAAATACCTGGTGAATATTCTTTGTGTATTATTTTTCAGCCACTTTGACAAATAATAATGTGCAAGAGATTCTACCAATAAAATTCTGAATGATTACACTGATTACATTGAATAAGCAAAGATGAGCTGAATTATATTTTCATTATGGAAACATATCACTTAGAGGATTATTTGGGGAAACTCTCAGCCTAATGTGTCATTCAGAAGGTTCCAGTTTTTGACTATTGAAGATCATTTTAATTTTTCACATTAAATAAATCACAAAGTCTGTTTTTTGCTTCAGGTCATTTAATGGCAAGTTTTAGTCTCTGGAAAGTTTCATTGACTATTAATTGAAATTGACATCTAACATACTTAATAAATTGGAGGGTCTTATGGTCCAGTTATTGTAAAAATATCCCATCTCTTTATCTTAGCCTCCAGAAAATGTGACATGCAATAGCATGCTAGCTACAATATTTTGATTATGCTAATTAGCAAAGGGAGAAATCTTTTTGTTGGAAAACCTGTAGAACAGAGGCCCCCAATCTTTTGGGCACCTTTTCATATTTGAGTAATTATTCCATCACTCAGAGATATAATCAAATTTATCTGTGTATATTATTTCATTTTTAATCTTCAGTGTACTTTGTTTCAACATTTTTTCTTTTAAACTTTAACAGACTTATGTCTGTGCCTGTTTATACTATGCATTTAGTTAGCTTACTTAAATGTAAGCTAACTAAATGCATAGTATAAATAGGCACAGACGTAAGACTATTAGTAATTAATATGAATGTAATTGCTCCCTTTGCCTTCTTTTATTTGGTCTCTCTGTGTGTGTATGTGTAAATTAAATCCAGCTAATTATTATTTTGCTATTTCAACTGCATTAAAAAATAAAACAAATTAAAAAACAATACCAAACTACAAACCCAGAAATACCATTTTACAACATTTAAAATATTCTTATTAGCAAATTATTTTATATCTTCGGCTTAAAATAATTAAGGGGTTTTTTTTCTAGAAAAAAACTAGAGGGTTATGGATGTCAAGTAGGGGAGACTATTAGAACAATGTTGATAGTTTTTATAGAAACAAATCAATGCAGCTATCTTATGGAAATTAGAGAGCTATAATATTACATATCAATGTTACAAGTTTGTAGAATGTCTAAGCTTGTATATATTATATTTAGCACCCTTTGAACCAAAGAAACCATGTCATTTAGCTATAGGAAAGCTTAGATGATTACACAATGATTCACAAAGTTGTAATCCTGTATAAACAAATTTTATACTTTATATGATTCATGTGATTTACTTATTATTTTTTTATAACTGGCACTTAAGCCAAAAGGTAGCTTATAGATTACTTTTCCAAAAGAAAAACGAAAGGCAGTCCCTGCCCTCAGGCTTATGTTCCAAAATAATAGCACAAAAGAAATATGGAGGCACCATATTTAATGTTATTCAGTTCTTAACCGGTTCTAGTCTGTGTATTTCTAGTGTAGAAAATAATACAACAGCTAATAAAGGTTCTTATTTTTCTTTCTCCCCTTTTGAAACCATATTTTAAAATATTTAAACAAAAGAAAACTTCCTTTTGATCTTAATGTTTAAATATGAATTTAAAAGAGCATAAGTATTCATATTTTATCCGCCTTTCTTTTATCAAATTTTCAATAATAGCTTGCCCCTTGCATGAACAACATGCTGCTGGATTTATATAATGTTATTTGCTTTTTGATCAATCCTTTGAATTTTAAAAACATTTTCCAGGTTCTTCCTTTTCTTTTTTGAATGTGCTTAAAAAGACTTAACACTAAACAAAATTATCACCTTTTTTTTTCTTGAGTGAACATCCAGTGCCATGAACCAATTTCCCACTACTATGTCAAAGGTCAGCATTTATATTCCATTTGAATTATTTTATTTGATGAGTGAATTAAATCACTTGCAACATAGATTGAATAACTGGTGAAAAAATTAAGTATGTCACAGAATATTTATTTTCATGTTAGAAAAAAACTTGTGGAGGACATATGTATGTCAGGAATAAGCAACTCATGTTTCATTGGTATTCCCACAAGCTTTGCAAGTGATACTTGGGACTGAAACCTATGACACTTATTTCTGATAAACGGTAACATAATAATAGTAAATATCTATTCTTTGCCAAAAGAAGCATATGAGCATGCATGCAAGGTTTCCAGGCAATAATTAAGTCCCACATTTTTAAAAATCATACTGAAATATCTTTCATTTGGCTTGTATACAAAAGCTTTAGGAGCAAGTTTGAAAAGAGCCATGATAACTAATGCTAATCAAAGAATGGGATGCTGCTGCTTTAAAAAAAAATTCTGAGCTTTCCCTTCTGCTCACCCTCCTCTATCTCTCTCCCTCTTATTCCAATTGCAGGCTGGGAATGTTCTGCAGCAGTCTTCTCACCCTATCAATAAGATTCAGTTAGCCAAGGTGGAGGATGGGAGCAGCATGGAACTGTCCCAGCTCCTCAATGAGATCAGGGCAAACTATGAAATGCTCCTCAACCGAGGAGGGACCCAGGTAATGTCCACATACAGACAGGCACCTACTAGAATAAGGAGACAATCCAGTGAGCACTCAATTCCTCTCTCAGCCTCTGTGAGGTACAGTATTTACATTTTCAATGCAGCGGTTTTTTGGGGGGGGAGCAACCATCTCTCTCTCTCTCTCTCTCTCTCTCTCTCTCTCTCTCTCTCTCTCTCTCTCTCTCTCCCTCCCTCCCTCCCTCCCTTCCTCCCTCCCACAACACGTCTAGACTCTGAGATTGGGGAAAAATATGTTGAGGGTTTTTTAAAAAAATGATAAAGTAAAGCTGGGTCACCTTGATGGAGATATTTCTCAAAACAGAATAACAAACCTTCTGCAGCTCCCCTGCTCCATTCATCATTTAGATGTAATTTTCTCTAGGAAGAAAAACATTTAAGATTGGAAAAGAATTTATTTTAAAGATAGGTCAAGAGGAGCCTGTGTTTTACTGTATAGCATCTCTAAAAGAGAAAAGTCAGGATCATACTGTTCTGCAATACTTTGCTTGTCTGGCTTCAGTCTCATGTTTGCTAAAGGTTATCCAATCACAAGGACAGTATTAAAAATTCACTTAGGAAAAAAAATGCCTCTGAATCACAGCCATGAAATGCACCAGACTGCTGATCTGACTATCAGGAATAACATTAAACAGGATGCATTAAACATCCTACTGTGCTTTTGAGTTTGCTGTTTCTGAATGAGTAATATGTTTTGTATCTATGGCTGGCTTGCTTTATGGTTTATTTAAGTATCTAGTCAATCCAGTCCCAAAACCTTCAGAAATGATATAGCTCATCTTTATCTTATGTCATAGATAACTTGCCATAGAGTAACTTGCTGTTTAGTAAGATTCTCAGCAAATTAATATCAGGACTACTTTATTTGGATGGAAAGTCTCCAGGGAATTCTAAAACAAGGCAATGTTTCCAAACTTTCCAAAATGTTGCCAAGAAAATTCCATTACTGTGTCCATGTAATCTCATTCTTTGCTTCAAACCAGTATTTACAACCATTTGTTTAGAGATCATTTTGAAGTTGTAATAGCACTGGAAAGAAGTGACTTTTAATTGATCCTTGCACTTATGACAATTGCAGCATGCCCACAGTTACATAATTGACATTCAGGCACTTGGCAACCAATATGTATTTACCATAGTTGCAGCCTCCCAGAATCTTGTGATCACCATTTGGAACTTTCCTAGCCGGCTTATGACAAGCAAAGTAAATGGGGAAGCCACATTCGCTCAAGGACTGCATGATTCAGTTAACAATCATGGCAAAAAAAGTCATAACATTGGGCATGACTCACTTAACCAAAGCCTTGCTTAGTAACAGAAATTTTGGTCCCATTGCGTTTGTTAAGTCAAGGGCTACCTATGTTAGATTTGTAATAGGACTTTTCTTGTGCTTTGGATTCAAATTTTAAAAAATGCTCTGAAGGACAAGGAAACACAAACATACCACTTGTCTGAAATATCTTAAAGCAGCTGCATCTTTCCTTGGGAATGTGACCTGGGAATTTTTCCAGGATCAAAATTCTCCCCATCAGGCAGGTCCAGCAGTTTTAAAGTTGTATTATGTTTGTTTTTCAATTGATTGCTCTAAACAGTTGAAAGCAGAATTCCATGGGTCTCCCTCCTTCATATTCATTAACATAACCCCAATACTTGTATAGACTATATGAAAATTTGAAATGATGCTAACTAGAATTACATTTATTTCCTCTTTGTTTCCCAAAAACCTGCATCTTTGTGGCACAGCTATCCTCTGCAGCTGCCCTGATATCCCAGGAAAATACACAGCTGCTTTATACTGATGCAGATGAGAGATACCTGCATATTCCATATCACCTTTTAGAGATCAAATTCAAAATGTCCACTGGCTTCTTCAGACAGCCTATATGCAATCATTGAAAATGTGATTTTAAAACTAGTTTTACATACAGTATTCTTGTGAGCAAAGAAATACAAAGGCACAAAAGTGTCAGTGGAGTCTTGTTCAATAAAGTTGCTGGGAATAGGAGAAATGGAAGTTACCTATGTTGTTTGGTCAGGTTTTTCAACCAGTATTTTCAGACTTCCACCATTTGTCAAAAGACAAAGGCAATTATGATGCAAGAGAACTTACTACAGGTTCACTTTCAAATTAAGATAGTTTTAAAGTCTTTAGCACTTCCAACTAACATTCCCTAGAGAGAATTTTTCTCCATTACGACCATATTCAATGCTCCCATATTATAATGTAAATGGCAAAGTCGTGAAACTATCCTGCGGACTTTTCCTTGTCTATATCCCTCAAAGTTTTTACAAAGAAAAATGTAAAACCTTTATTTTACTTGCATTAGAGTTGTTAACATATTTCACTTGACATTTTTTGTTTTGTTTTTAAAGATGCTAAGTTTGATGGTGCCTAACTTAAGCTATGACTGCGCAGATGCTAATTCCATATTTGCATTCCATTAATTCTTTGAAAGGTTATTGTTAGTGAAATGTTTTAATTATAGTTAGTGAAATCATCCTTAATTCAGGAAGAACATTTTTAGCAATAATTTACTTAGTAAAATAAATTTTTCATTCAACTCCCTATGCACATGCCATTCCTTCCTTGAAATCTTGGTTTCAGAAGACCTGATAAGAGTCTGCAACTTCTGGAAATATATGTTTCACCTTGTGTTAATTCAATAATTTAATTCCTTCCTTGAAATCTTGGTTTCAGAAGACCTGATAAGAGTCTGCAACTTCTGGAAATGTATGTTTCACCTTGTGTTAATTCAATAATTTAAATTCTCTCTCTCTCTCTCTCTCTCTCTCTCTCTCTCTCTCTCTCTCTCTCTCTCACACACACACACACACACACACACACACACACACACACACACACACACACCCCTATCTATGGTTTTGTGAATTTTCTTATTCATTGGGTTCTCAGAATATTCTATTTAGGTCTAGCTAGTGTTTTGTTTAGGTCTAGCTCTATCAAGAGGCAGAAAATTCCTTCCACACGTACCTGGAACTGGTACCTCTCGTGGGTAGCAACTATTCAGAATTGATGAGTAGACAAAACCTGCATACTCCTTAAGATAATAATAGTAATAATAATAATAATAATAATAATAATAATAATAATAATAATAGTAATAATAATAATAATAATAATAATAATAGTAATAATAAAGTTGGAAGGGACCGAGCAGGTCATCAAGTCCAACCCCCTATACCATTTCGGACAAACGGCTGTCCAATTTCTTCTTAAAAACTTCCAGTGTTGGAGCATTCACCGCTTCTGGAGGCAGGTTGTTCCACTGGTTAATTGTTCTAACTGACAGGAAGTTTCTCCTTAGTTCTAGGCTGCTTCTCTCCTTGATTAGTTTCCATCCATTGCTTCTTGTCCTGCCTTCAGGCGCTTTGGAAAATAGCTTGACTCCCTCTTCTCTGTGGCAGCCCCTGAGATATTGGAACACTGCTATCATGCCCCCCCTCGTCCTTCTCTTCATTAAACTAGACCTAACCAATTCAATCAACCTTTCCTTATATGTTTTAACCTCCAGTCCACTAATCTCTTCTCTGTACTCTTTCTAGAGTCTCAATATCTTTTTTACATCGTGGTGACCAAGAAGGTACCCTTCTGCCTTCAGATGCACCAAAGGACATTGTTCTGTCACTGGTACTAAACACAATTTAATAACCATTTCTGTTAGCTCTGTATAAATATAGGGAGAAGCTCAATCTTAAATATAATGGGATGTCTTCGAAATGTATGGAGTCTGATCTGCAGCTACTAGTTACTCTGTGTGCTCCTTGAAGTGACATCTGAAGTCCAGTCTCCACTAACCAGGCATGTTTCTAACTGAGTTCAATTCCTGGTGACTTTATGAACACATTCATGCAATTTTCTTGACAATTGTACAAAAATGAACTGCTACTTTTTTCTTCTGGAATGTTTTGTTGACTTCTCAATCTAGCCTATGGTTCACTGAAAGTTTTCCCAAGCTGATCAGTAAGCAGGTTTGATTCTGCTGGGTTTCCTGGTCTGCAGCTTCTGCCATCTTCCAAATCATGCTGGGGTTATATTATGGCATTATTGTCATGAGTTTTTGCTTGTCTTCAACCTCCCTCTTTTGGTCATTTATTCCTCCCCTTATGTAAAATGTATACTGATTCGGGCCAGAAAAAGAAGTATTGATTGCCCTCCTCCCTACAGAAAAGTTATCTAGTTTCTTTTATTTGCCACTTTCAGAAATAGAACAGAATCTTGTAGTGTGTCTGGACCTCCTCCTTAACAACCGATTCACTTCTTTGAGAAAGCAGAAGGATTGCCCATCCCAAGAAGGGAATCCATCAATCACCATAATTCCTATAGCTTTTGTGGATTATTTGGTATGAGTTTCTTTCCAAAACCAATTATTTTATTTGTTGCATTTATAGCTCATCTTTCCTACTACCACACCCTTTACAAATTTCCTCATAATAATCCTATGCCCATATATCAAGCTAGAATATTGTGACTGATCCAACCTACCCACTGAATTTAATGAATTTAATCTATTATACTCTCAGGCAGTGCTTTTTTTGTAAAAAAAAAAAAAAAAAAAAAAAAGGTGCCGGAACTCACACACATCATACAACCCGCCTTGCCTACCCTACAAGGTTCCATCCAAAAAAGGTGCCGGAACTCCAATCTGGGCGTTCTATGAGAAAAAAAGCCCTGCATCTCAGGAAAAATATGACATTATTACAAAGACATATTATTAAATATTCCAACACTAATATTTCTCCCAAGTGTCTCAAATCCACTTTAGTGTATTAATTATTAAGGTTGATTGAATGTGCACAGTGGAGTTTTAGAATCTAATAAATAGAAACTATTTTCCAAACATCAAAATCTTCAAAATTTAGCTGCTAAATGTTTTCCGGTCTAAGGCACAAAATCAGCTGGGTGACTTTGGACTAGTCCTTCTTCCTTATTCCTAGGAAGAAAACAGTAGCAAGCCACTTCCAAGAATGTTACCAAGAAAATAGAAGGACTTGTCCAGGCAGTCATCAGGAATCAAGATTGGCTGGAAGGCATGGGAAAA